TCACCCCCTTGACGGCCGCCGAGCACGGCTTGCGTCCCGACAGGTCCACACTGCTCGATGAACTCGACGTTGAAGCCGCACCGAACGTCTCCTTCTTGCCATCGACCTTCTTCTTGCTCTTTCCGCCCTTGTCGGGCGAGCTGTGCACTGAACCCCTGCCTTTCTTGTCTTTCTTCTTCTTCTTCGACCGGGCCTTCTTCTTCTTCTCCTTCTTCTTCAAGGAGCGACCCCGCTCCCGGTCCAACGCACCCTCCTTGGCCAATGGGGCCCCAATGCCTGCTTCTCGTGCTCGAAGATCCTTGAGGTCGTCCTCCATGGTCGCGACCGTCTCTAAGTTGTCGACCCAGCCTTCTTCGGCCTCCTTGCTCTTCGCCTGACGAATCATCTTGCAATGCACCAAATCTTCCGAGACTCTGTCTCCAGAGCAGTCTGCTCCGCACCTGTGCAATCGAAGGACGTTCTTGGTCTTGTCGCTGGCGTGTCGGAGGAGGTTCTCGTTGCTGGTCCCTGTTGCTCTGATCAATGCATGGACGTCCTCGCCCGCTATCTCCAGCCTGTCGATAGTTCCAGCAACTTGGCATGGGGCTGTGAAATACGTCCCCTCGCTCACCACCAACTTCACACCCCGACCTAGCAACTCCAACGGCACACTTCTCATCGACACCTCCTCTCCAGACATCCAAAGCTCCCGCGGCCCAGGAGCTGCAGCGGGTGGTGGAGCCAATGCTGGCCTCCTCAGGGCACCCCTGCCCCGCACAACTGCCATGGCTGCCTTGGGTTTGGCTAAGGCCTTCACTCGGCCTTTGGCCTTTGGTTTTAAGGGCATCTCATGCAAAGTGAGACTTTGCCCAAATGCAACTAGGACTTTGAATTTCAATGAACTTCATTGGTATTAGGTGACCCCATCCACTTCTCATTCAACGCCCCCCCAGGCCCACGCACCATCCGCTGCAGCCATTTTTCTCAACGATTCTCAACGACCGCAGTCCCCCCTGCGATCCGGCCAGGGTCTGAGAAACGTTCCTCAGGAACAGGCCTGTTGTGCCTGCAAACGAGCCTGGCGCTTCACCTGCCCAGGAAAGGTGAGTGTTAAAAGGATTTAGATTTATATAAAGGTGACGAGTCGCATATATATATATATATAATTTGTTATTGTTTTGAAGGTGAGTGAGCCTGGCCTCTTCATGATCCAACCCTTGTCTCTGCAATCGGCGATATACTCGCGAGTAGACTTGGTTGTAGCCAGTCTGGAGTTCTGTCGTTTTCTCTTTCTTCTTGTCTGTTTTGGGAGACCTGGTGGTCTTTGGGGGAGTCTTCTTTGGGGAGGTCCTCTTGGCGCGCGATTCTGTTTTCTTTGTGGGAGTCTTCTTTGGGGAGGTCCTCTTGGCGCGCGATTTCACTGCTGCTGCTGTCTTTGGGCAAGGCTTCTGGGGACCTTTGTTTGCAGACGCTTTGGCGGATGCTTTGGGACATGCTTTGGCACCACACGCTGCAGCAGTGGAAGGGACAGTTGGCCCATCCTTTGCGTTTGTCTTGTGTTCGTCTTTGTCTTGGCTCTCTTCTTTTGGATTCTGGTCCATGGTATTGTCTTCGATCTCTTCGATCTCTTTGATCTCTTTGGGTGGGTCTTCCTTGGCGAGCTCAGGGGTTGGGCTCCCAGTGTTCTCAACCTGGTAAAGTTCACTGCCACCTCCACGGATGGCAACCATGGGGCTGGCTTGCGCGAGCAGCCTCAAGCCACATATTATAAGTACTACAGTACAGTGGTCCCCAAATAGATAGAAACGGTTTCCAATACATTTTTTGAGGGGATTTACTTTTCTATCTATTTGGGGGCCACTATAATCAGAACCGGCGTGAACATAAATCAACAAGCTTAGCAATAGCATAGCTCAGATCTTGGCATCTTCGAGATGTCTGTGGTTTCCATTGGCTCAACCTCAATATATAGCCAGGTGTTTAAGTAAACATACCAAAAAACAGACCGCCAGCTGGGATACCAACCTTGTTTTCAGGCTCTCGATGGTCAAGCTCCTTCTCAGACTACTAAAGAAAAGGAGTTATGGAAACATTGAAACATGCCCCAACGCTATCCCAATATTTTCTCCTCATCAGGTCCGTCATCATGGTCATCGATCAAAATTGGGCTTGTCGCAATGGGGTCCAAAAGAGGTTCCTGAGAGAAACATGGGAAAGTGAGGCAGGGTTCAGACCTTACTTAAAGTGAACTCTGTCAAGAAAAGGTATTACAGTGTGACAGTAGACTTGTATCCTTGGAAGCATTGCAGTCGCTCTCCTGCTCATGTGCGGCTTGAGGTGATGCATGTTCAGCAAGTGGCACCTCCTTCGTAGGCTCATCCTCGAGGGGAAATTTCCAGCCGTTGTGACGGAGTCTAGTTTGGACACGGAGTACATCGAGTTCCTGGCTCAAGTATTTTCTTGGTGTTGGCAGGGTTTCACAGCGACATTGTCAGTTTTTGATGTTCATCAACTCTAGTGTGAAAATGATGACTAAAAACAGTCCTCGAGTGTGAAAGTTGAACCAGGTGCCACATGAACTTCATCCCCATTGTGCCATACATAAATATCGGGATTGTTGATGCTGTCTCCAGCACGGAAAGCGATAGGCTCTTCAATCTCCTCAATCTGTTCTTTCTCATCCTCCGTGTCCCAAAACCCCAAGTCCTGCAAAACAAAACATTTATAACATATCTCGTGGAGTTTTACATGCCAAACCCATCTTGGCACCATGGCTTCAATTTACAAAAACTAGGTAGAACCTTTGGCCCATAGGCACATTGGAACTGATGCTTCAACCAAACGGTGATTGTCATAGACAGCGCAGCATGATTCTTGATTCTTGAAGTATCCTCGGAACCCAATTCTTAGAGACCTTAAAGCTTTAGAGATGACCAGTGGGTGGTCTTGCTGGTCTTGCCAAGGATTTAGGCTAGGGAGCTCCACCCCTACAACATAAAAGCACGCTCAATGCCCAAGCAGAATGCAACGAATAGTTGACTTGATAAAACTGGTCATTCAACAATGTGAGAAAACATTGAGTAACAGATATTGCGTACATGTGGATGCGACGTAATGCGAATGATCAGTCCAGGGTTGTGTCGGTGTCAATGTCGCCCACAGGTGCTATAGCTGGCTCCAACGGTGCCGCCTGTTCAAAAAGTCTAGATCAAACTGACTGATCACACCCATATGAAGTCTGTTCATCAAGTCTCCATTGATTCATTTTTTTGTGAAAAAAGGAGCCTCCCCTCTTGCGGGGGGAGGTTGTTCTTGCCTCACGATGCCAGGGCGTAGCACCATGATCACCATGGACGCGCAGATCTTCCTTTCCCAATCCAGGCTGGGAGAAGACGTGTCAAGTTCAAATGTGAAGACAGGCATTTCCCCTTCATGTGTCCTGCCTGTTGGTCCGGGTGCAAAGCACGCTGCTCAGCAAGGTGAGCGCGCATCATAGCAAGCTTCAAATCATCCTCGCTCACCTCCCCATAGTCCATTGAACATTCCTGGTCCTGCAGAGCATGATAATAGTGCACATGCCGACAAAGTTGACTGCGCATAGACACTGATAGTGTCCATACTTGTTCATACAAGGCGGTCTTTATTGCAAAGGGCTTGCAAACTTGGGGTCCTCGCAAGCTTCATCATCAGATTCATCATCAACAGACTTGCTGTCAGGGCCAGCTGCACGTTTCTTCCCACGACGTTTCGTTTCTTTCTCTTTCTTTTTCTTTTCTTTGTCTTTCTTGGCATGCTTTTTGCCATGATGTTTCTTCTCTTTCTCTTTTCCTTCCGTTCCCCCCTCTTCTTCATCCTTGTCTTCGTCATCATTTCCTCTGCACTGACCAAGGGCTGTCAGTTCAGAATCGTCTTCTTTCTTACGTTTTGGAGTCTGCTTTGCCTTTGCAGCAGGCCTCTTTTTGAGATCAGGTGCTGGCTCCTCATCCCCATCCATACCCTCTTGACCAGAGGTTCTCTCGTTCGAATCCCCTGACCCAGATCCAGAGACCTCACAGCGCTGAAGAAGGGATCCTGCAAGAATGCAAGATGAAGGGGTTCCTAAGCGAAAGACACTGCATGAAGTACATCAATGGAAGAGTCCTGATGAAGGGTCAGAAGTAGCAGATCTTACCAGCTTTGGCTTTGGTTGTGCAACCGGCCGCTCGCGAGACTCTGACCCATCAATCAGCATACTGTAATCGTTGATCGAGAAAGCTGGGGCAGAAACCACATTTCCTGCCGATCCTGTGCCAGGCATTCGTCCAGACATGGCGAACGCCCCAGGTTCAAGTGCCGAAACCGAAGGGGCAAAGGATTTGAAGAGCCTGCCTGTTCATGCACAGCATGAATCACCATAAAATGAAGCTCAATTATCAAAACATCACTTGCAGAGAGTTGTCATAGCAGAGGGAACTTTCGAGGCTTCTGTAAACAGGTTACAGTTGTTTCCCCCAAGATGATTTCAGCCGCTTTGGTTTGGCAAGGTGCAGCCTTCCGGCACTGCAGCGCAGTGATCCCTTTCAGAGGCCTGTGCCCATTGCTGAACACAACCAGCGAATTTCAAAGGTGGGTGGACTATTTTTGAAGTTTATGAAATCACAAGAAGATTGGATAAGATTGGCAACGACCTTCTATCCCCATCGGAAGACTGGTTTGGCCCTGCCCAAGGCAACTCGCAGCATCATGGTAGCTGTGAAAGACATTCGACCAGCTTCATGACAGCTTCAAGTGTTTACAGAACAAAGATGACAAACATTGTTTGAGTAGCCTTCAAGTAGACTTGGATGCTACCCCAAAAACATGCTGCACGGGGGCTCACAAGATCTGCAGGACATGATCTGGCTTTAAGCTCAGACCTCCTGCCATAACAGCGCACGGCCTCACAGGCACAAGCTGGGAATTTGCGGCGCCGCTGTCCGAGACGAGCCTGGATGACAAGCGCAGGAGAGAGGGGGGAAACTTGGAACAGGCAGTGGGAAAAATCAAGTAAAGCGCCTCAGCCTCCAAATGATACGAATGTTGCTGGACCCCCGAAGCTTAGCAAAATTGACTTTTGCTCCAAATGTCATGGCGCTGGCAACCTTCACAGCACACTGCGCAAGAATAGCTGACACCATGCTAACACCAGTTGACTGACTCATATTCTAACACCAGTTGATCTCACCTGTTCACGAGTTAGTTACATTCATCAAGAAAGTACCTCACCTTAGCTTTCTTCTTCTTGGGCTTCAGTGCATCAAGTACAAAGCACACAGATGATAGTGGCTTAATGCTGAAATTGCCAGCAGCATCCTTGGTGAGCTCATGTTCCGCAACCTGGTAGTTGACCTCCCCGTTGTCTTCCAGCACCTTGAGCAACTCATTAAGGGGCATAACCTGACAGTCTGATCAGCTGGCACCCGGGCCGGGGGATCAGGCCGCACAGTTTGGGTTGAGCGAGTGAAAGTGCAACCAAAGAAATCTTGTTCCAGAAAGTAAGGGATTCCAAGTGCTGCGTCTGAGGCGTTCGTTGCTTTTCTAAAACAACCAAGTCGTTCGCGTCGCTCAGAGCAAACAACAGCCAACGCCCCTCGGCAGAAACATCCGAGGTCACATCATTGCACTGGCTTCCCTTCAAGAAATCGCCGGATCCAAAGCCAAAGACTTCAGTGTTCGGCTCTACCTCAAAAGCCTTCCCAGACCCAACCCACAAAGATGCATCGCTGTCGCAAAGGGTGAGTGTGAACTGCCCACAGGTGAGGTCAGTCCTCTCGAAGGAACAACTTTTTGACAACAAGGACGATGTTGATTAACAACTCTTTGACGGTTGATAAATGTTGATAAACATCAAAAGGGCAGCTTTCCCAACGAATTTGTGTGTCATGAGACATTTTCTTTCAATCAAAACTTGCTTGATTAAAGTTGAAGTCCTCTCCGGGAAGGCGGCTTCCAACTCTGCATAGGTCTTGGCCGTGGTCAATCGAAGACGCTTTTTGGGTGTTTCAGCAACTTCCTCATTGGTTTCCTCATTGTTGGGTTCAGCTCCACGCTTCAACCCTTTCGGGTTGAACTCCTTGTTGTGGTCGTCCACCAAGTTGGTCAGCTGCTCTAAAAAGCTTGTGTGCTTCTTCGACCAAAACTGAATGAGTGACTCTCTCACGATGAGGCTGCCATCGCCCAGGCACACACAGACTTGATAGTCTGGCTGCGGCGACCGTTGGAACTGCTTGATTTCAGCCATCGCTGAACTAAAGTTGGGAAAGGCCGCGATGTTCAGCTCATTGCTGCGCGCCATGCTGAACACTTTTCCAGCCAAGGTGGATGAGACAAAGCTTGCGTCGGCATTGGTGTGACAGATGGTGGCGCAAGCAATCTTCTTTCCTGAAGTGCTTGAAGGTCAGCAGGAACAAAAGAACAAAAAAGTCATTTCAAAAGTAAAAGTATACACAGAGTGCATGCCATGATTGGATGCTGCCGATGATCCACGAGCGTACTGTGAAATAGCGTACTGGCCTGGCCATCCATCAAAGCCCATTGCGTCAATGAGGACAAGCGGAACCTCCGTTGCCCCAGGCTGCAAGCCCTCCACCAGCTTAGCAATGAAGTTCATGCCGCCGCAGTACTGCGCAGGGCAGAAGCTTTCAACCCTGGCTGGACATCGCTGAACTATGATATTGGTATTTGGATTGGTCAGCAAAGAGATGTTTAAAGCGCATATTCTATGCTTCCCAGTGCTGTGTGACTGAGCTTGCATGGGTGCCTTCCAACAAACGGATTTAAAAGAGATACAGCTTCAACAAAAACATCACACTGATACTGTCCTGCTTCATCTCTTGAACTTTTGTGAATCGTGCTTCTCCTCCATAGAGTTTGGAGGCACGGGCTGGCTTCAGCATCTCTGCTCTTCCAAGCATCGTGACCCCTTGAATCACACCCACCTTCCAAATACGCGAGCGCCTGAAGATGTTGTTTTTGTCATTGGATGTAATGAGCAGCACCTGTTGATAGCCACTCCTGCTCCCATACACGGAAGAAGGCTCGAAGGTAACCATGGCGTTCCGCACCTTTGGAACTGGGCGGCGTAGATGGATGGGTTTGGTTTGAACAGCTAGTGGTTAGCAATCAAAAGTAACCAACCAAAAACCAAAACCATTTGAGGTCGCGAATGAAACGAGGGTTGAAACATGCTACAGAAAAGGCAAGGTGCATGCAAATTGCGCCCTGCTTCTTGCAGCATGCAAGTCAGCCTGTAGTTGAAATCGCGCAGCAACGCATCTCCGCCGCTTGCATTGTTCTTGGAGTTCTCATCATCGGAATCGATCTCGCCCTCGGGTTCGGCGTCTCCAGCTGTGTCTGCAGGGAGGCACCAGACAAGTTGAAAAACTTAAAGCCCAGACCGGGGTCTTTGTTCTGGTCAGAACTCCACCAAATTCTATTGAGAAGTCCCTTCTGGTCTCTCTCAATTTTTCATCGGCGCGACAAAGCATATCAACTAGTAGCCTGACTGAATTAAACCTTATACCGGGTTCAAGTTTGGATTTTTTGGTTTTGAGTTTATTGACCTTTCGAGGAGTGGCCTCCATCGGCATTGTCACCGTCCTCGTCTTCAGCCTTGATCTCAGTCCTCAGGAAGACTGCATTTAACTGCATTTCAGACGCGCCAAGAATCTACTCATTGTAGTCTACTCTTTGTGCAAGAGGGGTGAGGAGAACTACAGCTACAGGACTATAAAAGGTTTGCACATAAGAATGAATAAAACAATCATCTTTCCATTTTCAGGACATGACCAACTAATCCAAACCACAATATGTCCAAAGATGTCCAAAGTAAATTGCATAGTGGACAAGTGACTTCACTCGAAGATCGCCTGCCCTGTTTGGCAGCACCAGAACTCCAATGAAAGACTTGGGTGAGTTGTGGGACATACTTGTCAGCTGAGACAGTGTGAAGTGCAGTTTGTGGTTGCTGAGCACACCCTGTGTGGTCAGATTGAACAAGCCGATCACACCTTCATTCTCAGGACGCCTCATCCCATTGTTGAGACCTGTCAGGGTCTCAGCCAGCCACGGTTGCAGTTTGGCCTCCAGCACATTGCTTGTATCGGTGTCGGCATCGGGGCCTGATTTGGTTGAAACTCATTGGCTTGATTTTTTAGGCGAGACCATGCGAGAACCATTGGGCCTACAAAGCAAAGCTGTCAAAAAAGAGAAACCAAATGAAACCAGGTTACTGCACGTGGAAGTAGCTTTGGAAGTCACAGCATTGCTCCAAGTGGGGCAAACTTCGGTCACCAAGTTGTTGACGAGCTTCCATGCAACTCCATGCATTTTCTGCACAGGGTTTTGGCGTGGCTGGAAAACGAATTGTTACAGCGGGGTTTTGTTATCGAAACATAATGCGACCATGCTCAATTGCCTCATTATTGTCCAATATGAGAAACATACCAGAAAGATCATTTTATGTTTATATAGCTAAATTGTAAGGCAACATATACCACCTGCAATTTTGTCACGCGCCTCAAGGCTTGATACTGCAGCAGCCCGTGCTTTCGCTTCATCCCCGCTGGAGGCAAGGAGGTACCTCCTATGCTGGAGTTGGTCGTTGGCCAAGTTTGTCTCAAAGAGGCTGAAGCCGGCCTGCAAACTGGTTTGTAGAGCAGAGTTGATCTTGGATTGAGCTTTCTCCAATTCTTCATCTTGTAGCTGTCCCTTGCATTCCAGCACAAACGAAAGCTTCTGGAGATCGAACGAAGGGTCTGCAGTCTTTGCGTGAGCTTTGAGTTCTGGGTCCAATGTCCTTACAAGTTTCTACCGCCCAATGCACCAACTTCTTCCGGGATTATGAATATAAACAATGATGTTTTGGTGTGAAGGTCCAGTACACCCATCATTATTTATAATGAATGGATCCTAACTAAACAGTTGTTCTGTAGTCGGCATTTGTTTTGCAGGTTTTGTGCAAGGCGGAAGTCAAGTAAAGGTCATGAGGATTTTTGTATATAAGTAATGGATTCTGAAAGTAATCGAAGGGAACCTGGCAATCATTTTGTAAAGTTGTCAGTTTCACCAACAGTTCTTTGCTGTAGGCGGGCAACTGAGAACCGCTTTTGCTGTAGGCAGGCAGGGTTTCAATTGCAGTTCTTGTCGATCTGGTTCCTGTGGATCTGGGCGGGGTTCTGACAGGGCGGGCGGGATTTCATATCCGGTTCGGCCGGGGCGGGCGGGATTTCATATCCGGTTCTGGCGGGGCGGGCGCGATTTCATATCCGGTTCTGCCGGGGCGGGCGCGATTTCATATCCGGTTCTGCCGGGGCGGGCGGGATTGTGTACCGCGGTTTTTAAAAATGAATGTACGATCCTGGTGCCATGTTACGCGGTTTTCCATCAAAACCATGTAAGATTTGGTCTTGGATTCCAACTGGAAATTATACAGCGGAATTTAAAAACCCACGTATAATTCAATGGTCTAACTATAAACAGTGTATAAAATCGATGTCAGAAGTTGGCTTCCAAAATACACTGTTTATTTTTCCTTTTGTTGGAATACCGCGGTTTTTAAAAACCACTGTGCAAATCACCCCTCCCACCCCTGAGCCAATTTATACACGGTTTTCTTTGAAAACCCTGTACAAATCACCCCTCCTGCCCCTGAGCCAATTTATACATGGTTTTCAGTGGGAGACCCAAAAACAAACTTTCACAAAGACGAGCGGCCCATCCTGGAACATGGTCTCCAGCTTTACGAAGAGAGACCCGGCCCCCACATGTGCCTTAATACCTTCGCGGATCGCGACCCACAAAAGGCAAATGTCCATGAGGTCGTGCATGGAGGCCAGGTCCCGCTGGGCCATTTTCTCAGGGAACATTTCTCAAAAACATTCACCAAAAGAGAACGTTTTCAAAAGACTAACACTTTGTTCTTTCCAGTCCTTCTGTTTTGCAGGTGCATCTGCCGGCGCTTTCTTGCAGTGGTCCTTCCAGGAGCGCTGAGCCCAGAGCATGGTAGCTTCAGGTGTCACCGTCTGACAGCGTTCTAGGTTCATGTGGAAGCGGAAAGCTATCTCTCCAACTTCAAGACCTTGGAACATTTTTCCTAGTTTGCTTCCACCAAGCCTTGGTTTGCTTCCACCATGCGTCACTGGTCGGTGCGCCATGGAAGTGTCCCGGGACATAGAACTCGTCGTTCAAGATTTCCAGAGTCCAGGCTGACAAGTAGACGTTCAGGGAATTTTGAAAACATGAATGAAAGTGTGCACGATGCAATGCTTAGTTTTTTGTGTTTTGTCCGCACCTCCATGCTCAAATTTGTAAGAGTCAGAGGCAGCCTTCATCAAATCGAGCAACTCTGGGGGTGACCGCATGATAGCATAGATGACCTTTCGGAGGTCCTCCTTGATTTTGAAAGCCTCCAGATGCCCGTTCAGGGAATATTAAACAATGGTTATTTGTCGAAAGCATTCATGTTTTGAACTCGGACCTTGGTGGTTTGTAGCCGGTTGTATTCCGCTATTGCAGAAAACAAAAGATCTCGGACTGCAGTTCCCTTGCTCGTCAGGCGCTTCATGCGGACTGCTTCCTGGCGCGCTGATCAGGCGTGAGACCGATGAGCAATCTGAAAAGATATATGCAAATCTCCTTAAAGCATAGTGCGAGCTCAAGTGGTCCGGGTTTTGCCTTCTCGGCTGTCCGGTTTGCGAGACCTGAGGAAAACAACATCTATATTGTATACTCAAAAAGATTTGAGACTTCTGCCCTTACATGTGAATTTGGTAAGCTTCTGACTAAGAGCTTCATAGATGCATTGCTCTTGGGTGGCAAACTGGGTATAGTTTGCACGGAGGTACTTCAGTGAAGCTACAAGGTTCAGCATCTCTTCATCGTGAGAGATGTCTGCTGGTCCCACACCCTTAGCAGGAAGACACACATAGACATAGTAGCAGTGAAAAGGGAGTTTTTTTTTGTTCTTTCTACTTCAAAGACAAGTTCCCCTACACAGCGACCACTATTAAAAACTGAGGTTCCAAGTAGTCCAAAAGGGCAAAGACTCCTTGTACCATAACTCCCTTACAATGGCCGTCAATGTACCCCGCTGAGAAAAGCTCCAGCTTCTGTCCATGAGACTCAGGCTTGAACTTGAGCTCCAGCGCTTCTTTCTCGGACTCGTAATTTCGGTGCACCAGCGACGGAAAGTGGGTTCTGACCGCCACCGTTGATGGCCATTTTCCATTCACCCCGTATTTGGCAGAATTGGTCATGTCCAAATCATAAGGGTGAACGTAAAAGTTTTTCCGTGTTGAGACTGGCGAATGTGTCAGCACAGGACCAGAAGGGGTGGGCAAACGAGATGCCACCTCTGGCAATGAGAAGAAATCAAGCATCACCTGACACTGACAGGAGAAGAAAGATCTGGTGGCAGCCTTTTGGTGAACAAGGCTCCGGCCTTCGCGAAGAAGCGCTGAGAGGATTCGTCCTTGTTGTAGCGCTCATGGATAAACTCGCCCAGATTCTTCGTGGATGTTACCTGCCATGTGATGGGCACACTTTGATGAATTGGTGAATTACCCATAGACTTCATTGATGTCACAGGAATGTTCCTATTTTCTGGAGGTTTTACTGATAGGTAAGATTTGTTTAGTGTTGAGTCAACAAAGGAGGCTGCTCTCAGCAGTGCCTCTTCCATCGCCAGGATCAAGCGAGTCTTCATGGACTGTTGGGGAAGCTCAGGGGTGCCAGGTTCCTCCTAGGGAGGATGGAATGAACATGTTAAACCTGAGAAACCTGAGACAAGCAGAAACAAGACCCCTCCTTCACCGGTTGTGTCGGCACTGGTTCTGCCATGCCCGAAAACAAGGCAGCTCAAGTCTAGGCTTGACTCAGATTGGTTGGCTTCGGGTTTGATCGAGTTTGCCTTGAGTGATGCATCTCCCTGTGACATGTAACTACTACAGTGAAGATTGAAACACGGACGCATTTTCACTTCTGGCACGCTTGCAGAAGCTTTCACCCCAGGTTTGCCACCCAAAAGCCTACTAGTAGTACCGGTGGAACTGTACTCGGAGCCTACGAATGACATGAGGCTCGGGGTCGCGAAGCTCAGCGTGGCCATACTGAACTCCAGGCGACGGGCCGGACAGGATGTATTGCAAATTTGGAGGTTGAGTTCGCTTCATGGCAACCTTTCCTGCCAGTTGAAGCAGGTAATGGGCCCCTCTGCTGAAGTGGGTGTAGTTCTCGAGTAGGTACTCTGCTAGTGCAGCAAGTTCTTCCTCACGTTCTTCCATCATAGAAACCTGCAAACCTTGGTATGGGGTCCGAGTTGATTAGCGTTGGGCAAGAGTCCCTGTGACAAAGAATCAGTCTACATTGTTTCTAGTTGAGGAACATGGGGCATCTGACCGTGCCAGTTTGTCTAGCGCAGCTTCCACATCCCCAAGTTGGCACCCAGGAAATGCAAGAAGAGGTTTCTGAGCCAAGTCATTGTCTGAGACATATGCCTTCACGAGAACGAACACATCCTGTGCACTCTTGGCGTACCGCCGTGGAAGCCTTTCCTCTGCATCTTCCAAAAGGCTTGACGGCATACCTGCCAGGTGCAAAGATCATGGATGAGCAAAGTAACTCAGGAACGATGTAGGTAGTGTTAGGCTTTTCCACCTTCTTTGGAAAACAAAAAGTCAATCAGTGTTACACTCAATCAAGACACTTTCGCGGCGAAGGAAGGTGAAGCTGTGTGGGACGACTTCTTTGTTCTTTACAGACCGTCTCCTATAGGCTCCATACAGCGTAGAGATTTTTGGAATGCAGCCCTCCCAATCCCTGATATTGGTTATGTATTCGACCCGATAGTCAAGGCCCTTTGCTGTGAACAATGGTGCAACCTTCTCCATCAGAAGCCTTGGGGCATGCACTCAAGTGCTGATGAGCCAAAGCTTGTGGGCTGAGTGCCACACTTGACAACATCTTGTGGGCACTGCCTGGGCATGCAACTTCTTGAGATTGATGAGAACCAAAAAGGACTACCAAGAACATTTGCTAGAACCTAGGCCCAAAGCAAGTCCTCATCTCCCTCCCTGACATACCGACAGAGCATGCCGAAGTAGCCATCTCAGCGAGCAGATAAAGTATGTAGACCTGGTTCTTTTATATATGTGTATGGCAGTCGAACCTGAACAATGCCTTTCAACAAGTTTGCCAAGAAACCGATATCTTCATGAGTGTGACCGACTGGCAAATGTTCGTGGGAGATCACACGGGCATACCCTCCCGCTGTCATCATTGAGCACCAGGCTCCAAAGTGGCCGTTCTTAATCTCCTGACGAGAGCAACGAGACAACAGAACGCTAAAACAAAAATCATCCATGAAGCGCATGACTGATGAGTCTATGGAGGCTCCTTTGGAGTGTTGTCCGAAAATATTTTGATAACTGGCGGAAAGGGCTTCGACCTCTTCTGGAAAACCTTGTGTGTGTGCTCGAGAGACCTGTTCAAGGTTTCGAGCACCCAGTTGGTTCCACTGGTTTGGTTCTCGTCGCTGAGATAAGTGTAGATGCCGACGCCGTGAACCATTGTGGTAGTTACCTCCAGGTTGGGGCGCTTTGTGCTCTCCAAATCCTTCGGGGTTCTTCCCCTGTGAAACCTTGGTAATGCATATTTTGACCGGTCCATTGAATCTGAAATTGCACAAATGATGTCACCAGAGCTGCGGGCTCTTGATCTACATGCCCAATAGCACTGACGATCAGCATATTGGCCTGCAAGATGCCTCAATAGTTTGTCGCAATTGTCCAAATGATCTTGAATGTTGGAACTTCCTCTTATCTTTGCCCTCAACTTCGCACACACAGAACACTTGGAGTGGGAGCTAGGTGGGCTGAAGCGAATCTTTTTGGACCACCCTGACTCAGAAAGAACTCTGTAGAAGGTGCTCGCGGAAGCCACTCTGTCCGCTGCACTTGTTTGGTGGGCGCAGTATAGAGTGTATAGCTCGTGGTACGAGCCATGTGGGAGCCACCTTCGTGGCAAGCGATCAGCGCCACTCCACAAAACCCCTCTGGAAAGGTCGCTCTCCAGCGCGCTATCCACCAATGCTTTGAGAAGCATCTCCCTTGCACCTTGCGTCCCCAAGTCCTTTGCACCATCCACTTCTAACCTGGGTAGTGGATGATACTATTGGCTATTGGGGGATTGGTATTGCGCACAGTGTATCATCCAGAAGATGCATCAAATGGACAGCACTTTCAGTCAAAGGGCTCGTGTGGAAGAGTCTCCCCTATAGACCAATAGACTTTCTCAAGGAACGTTAGAACAGATGCTCCAGCTTCTGCCGAACGGTGACCTTTGGAACCTTAAAACCATGCTGCAAGCTAGAGGAAATGCAACTATTCAGTCAAGCAACACGATTGGTTTACCATAATGTTTCACAAACTAAGTAGCCCCAACTGCGTGCATCTATACCCTTGTAGGAATGCCGAGTCCTGACCAAACGCGAGGCGCTGATCCCCAAGATCTTGAGGAAGGCTTGCCGACACACGGGGTGGCCTTGCGGTGGAAATGAATTGCGAAACGTGTTGGAATTATAGTATAATGAAGTTGGACATTGACCTTGCTGCAGTTTCCGCTTTAAACCCAAAGACAGGCCTTCAAGGGACCATGAAATCTTGTACCGCTGGACACTATTGGCGGAGTCGCTCTCATCATCAGATGAAGCATCAGAAGCAACATGTTGTGCACATTGCTGCATACTCCACAAAAGGCTGTCCTGCGACACCTTTGGCAATGACCAGAACAAACAGACCATGTTCATGACCAGCCGGAAATGAAGACCTCTCTTGCAGTTTGAAGTGCAACACCCTTGATGTAGGGCTTCCCTTACACGGTTTGGATCCTGTCCTTTTTGTGCATATACTGACAAATCCTTCTGTGAACCCCGGGAGTCTCCATCATCAATCAGTGCCAATTGGCTCAACAGGAGACCTGCCGGCTGTGCTCCAGCTTTTGAAATGCTGGGGCCTGAGCTTGATGTGGACGAACTCGATGACGAAGACCTCAAGCGCCTTCTTTTGTGTTCTGGCAATCCTTCTAGATCGGACTCAGACTCAGACGATGAGTAGGAAGAATCTGAATCCGGTGCTTCAAAACGCTCCATGGGCAAAAAAGGCAGGGCAGCTACAAAAGGCTTTGCTTGAATGTGCAATAGAGCAGTTATCACAAAAACTCAGATAATTACAAAATTACAGAATACATCGGTATCAGTGATTGCATACGCTGCGTAGCTGGTCAGTCTACTTTTTTTGCTTCCATAGTCATAGCTGCGTCAAAGTCTCTTTGTGAGAGAAATCCCAGCCTGCTCTATTCCTAGCGACGGCCTTGCTCAATTGCCTTCTGATAGAAGCTGCCGAGGTCGACGCAGCTGAAGGCGACCACAAAGGCAGCTGCAATGGACTTGATGCTCATGCCCTGGGCCCGGTTTCCGGTGTTCGCCATATCTGTTGTTCATGCTTCCATGAGACTGGACTATAAGGAGCAAGTATGAGTCTAGGACGTTGCCACCCAGCGAATGCAATTCCTCGAAGCATTCATAGAAAATAGTATCCTATTATATAAGCTTATATAGTGGCGTAGTCGTTTGTTAGTTCGTTTGTTTTGATAGCAGCTGTGGAAGCAGTCCTCTTCATCTAGATGCTCGAGCGCCAACTTGTGGATCGGATAGCCGAGAAACATGAGTTTCTCAATGCCTGTTGAAATGCAATGAAAGACCAACTCACGACCAGGTTGATGTTCAACATGTTTCAACCTTCCCAATCCCAGCCTGTCAACAGGCGCTGCCGCTCAGTGTTCCAAAATTGGCCTTTCGGCGTGAGGCATGGTGCAACATCAGTGTTGGAATTGGCCATTCTATCAATCTGCTGCGAGAGATTGAGCGTTCCCTCATGGCCGGCACTTGCAAACACATCAATGGCCTCAGCTGCAGCTGTCAACTAGCAAGCCCTGCAACCCCTCATGCATCCAACTTATAAGAGCTTTTGGCCAGGGAACGTGCAACTGCCGCTGCCCCACGAAGAAGTTCCGCGCAGGAGTGACGGTCGTGAGATTCTTTGGGTTCACCTGGCGTCTATGTTTTGGTATCATGGTTCGAGATGATTACTGTAGTTATGAAAAAACATATGTTTCGAAGGACGAAGAAACAAGGCCTTCAACTGCGACATCTTCAGCCAATGTTTCTTGAGCCATTTTGGTTTCTTTTGTGTTGGCCTGG